GGATAAAATGCAGTTTCCAAGCAAATCTATTCATTTTCAAACCATAAATTCAATTTCAAATGAGACTAATTCAAATTCGGTTTTAAAAAAGCATTTATTCAAGTTACAATTCAGATTCAGTCTGAGCAATTCAAATTCAAATTTAACTTATTCAAATTCAGTTTCTGATGGCACAGATTTCTGCCTATACATTGGCAAGTTTTGAGTCTTTTAGAAGGGGAAAGTGTCATGTAAATGTAATCTTAATTTTCTGAGCCATTATTCTGCTGTCATGTCAGTAGGAACTGATATTCCCATAGATGGATATAATCATTTTTCTAAAATTAATAATTCCAAATAAAAATAAATAGAAAGGGAAAAATCTGTGTGAAGATGGCAAAAAATTAAGATGTGGCCAAAGTCAACACTGTACTTATAATGTCGAGGTATTTTCTGTTTTGCCTGCATTCAGTGATGCGTGAAATTGTGTTACACCGTTATCAAATGTCACCTTTTTTTTGTTTTGTTTTAGACCAAGCTTAATTAAAGCCGGCTTTTCTGTTTTCGACTTTTAGTTCTGCATGTTTGCTGAACGAGGTTCGTGGTATAGGGCCCAAACCTCCTAAGCTGTTCGGTTAGAACTTTAGTTTGAATGAAAATTTTTAAGTTCATCCAAAATAGTGGTTTCAATGGTTTGTTTCTTGTTTATTCCAGCTATGTACCCACCTGTCATGGCACCCCAAGCCAACATGTTTGGCAATGTCCCAGGCTATGAAGGCACTGTGCCAGGAGGAGGTAAGAAAAGCCCAGTTCACATAATTCCTCACATTAATGCTGTTGCTGGTACTTGAAAATTTGTCATTGATACAGGAGGTTTCCTGCCTCCTCCCATGCCCATGGAGCCAGTAGCTCCACCCCAACCCGCCCCTGAAAATCCTGAATGGAGGTACGACATATTATCTGTCTTTCAGCTGCTCAACAATCAGTAGAATATTCTGGTTTAACACAGAGTTTGTGTGTTTTGTAGCATCCCCTCTCTGTCTGAAAATGCAGCTCGCGAGGCTTTAAAGGAATTTGTGTCGTCTCATTGCTGCTACGGTGACGCACCAGTCACTCAGGGAGTCATCACCTCCATGGAGCCATTCAACACATTTAGGGTGATTAAATGTTCCCTTTTTATAATGCTGTCAGCATCAGTGATGCTGAGGACTGGTTTGAACTGTTTGCACTCATAGTTTTCTAAACATTTGACCAAAGGACATAATTGAATGATAATGAACTGTTAAGAATAAACCTGTGTAAGGATTTTTTTGCTCAAAAACTTGAGGGCTTTTAGTAAGTGTCCAGACCTGCTTAAGTAGTAGTTTGCCAGGACTTTTCATCACACCCTCAAGACTCTTGCAATTAGCTCAAAGAATATGGAATACCGGTTCCAAATACTGGTTTTACCACAAAATTTGTTATGCAGTAATATGATGCCCAGTTATATGAAACCAAATTGGAAATACGTTGTATGTTACAAGTTTAAACAAATTGTGGATTTAATATCACAACTATCTCAGGTTCTACACTTTTAACAGTGAGAGTGAAAATAGTTCTTGTTATTCAATATTTTCACCCCCATTTGTCTCCATCTTATACTTATTTTGACAATAAGATGTTTTTTCTCATTCTACATGTGCATTAATACAACTCTTTCCTGATCCAGAAACAGACTGAAGGCTCATACAGTACCAGGCTGACAGGCAATAGCTGCATGAGCAGTGTTATTGCAAAGTCCTTCTAAGTGGTGACATCTTGAGCATGCAGAGACAAAATAAAGGCAAATATGTGTTGTCAAAGAGGACAGTCTCAGTTCAAAAAACTGTTTCACATCAGTTTAAAACAAACCTTAACTTGCACATGGCTGACATGTGACCTGAAAAACCTTAAAGTGACATTCAATTGTGAATAAAATCATAACGCCTGTAACTTGTATCTGACACAACAAATATGCTTTTATTTTAACATGTCCAGCTTTTTGCACATGATGCATAGAAACTTGTTTCACTTTCACTCTGATGTGAAATATAGAGAAATTAGCACAGTAATGTTATCAACAAATCCAGTTTCTCTCAGTAAAGTCTGTTTTTTGTTCCTTAGTACCGTCTGGAGACATTCACTGAGTCCAGGTCAACTGACTGGGCCCACAAACCACATGAAGGTAAACGCACATTTTCATTTTGTTAAATCCAAACCTGATGTGGAGCCATTAAAATGGTCATTTTCATTTATTTCTTTGAGCCACCATGTTCTGTTATTATAGAGCAAGGCTGGATGCTTTTTAATCTGATGGTAGAGTTTTGTTGTTTCCTCTTACCAAACCACATTTTTCACTTTGTTCTTGACCACACTCAAAGTTTATGGCCTTGTGAGGGATTAAAAACAATAGTGTGATACTCAGAGCCTATTATGAATCAAACTCCAGAACAACTGATTAATCAATAGTGTTTTACCTGAAAGAGTTAAACCTGGAAACACTTGCTTTGGTTTTCATAATAATGAAATGCCTTTTTTATTAATCCTTGCATAAATCTACTGACAATGCAGTAACTTACAATACTAGTAGTTTATTGACTGTCATTTTCTGTGATCTCGTGTATTTAAAAGGTGAGCCTGCTGACTTTTACGCCCAGCCCGCTCCACGACCATGGGAGGTCCAGGCCACACCCCCCAAACTTTTCAGTGACCACACAGAGAAGATCCGGGTGCCCTACACGTCCTCCGTCAAGGTGGCTGAATAACAAAAGCTATCTGTCAAAGTGCTGGGTTACCTGCAGTTTAGTTCTGAGCTTTAAGCTTGAAGATATATATACTTAAAGAATGGGATACTTGAAATCTGTGAAGATTTGAGTTCCTGAATGAGCTGGTTTCTAACATAGCACGAGGTGTCAGTGCTATAGCCACATGTAGTTTTCACTTTAGCTGGAGCTCTAATTAGAAGTTAAACCATGAACACAAACTGTGTGTGAGGAATCTAAGGAGAACTCCCCATCAGTGTGATTCTGAAAAGTTTTTACCTTTTACTCATTTTTATCTTTTTTGTGTGTTTGTGTTTAGCAATGCCACACGTGCAATGCAGCAGGTACTGAGCAATGCAAGGAGTGCAGTGGAAGTGGAAAAGTAAGGAAACTCTCAATAGTAAATAATAAGACATGAAAAGTCTGATCAAGGTACAATTAAAACATTTGCTTATTTGTGTCGTTGTAGAAAACTTGCCCGATGTGTAATGGTGCGGCAAAGTCCGATCCAGCCTGCACTCACTGTAATGGCACAGGCAAAGACAGGTACTGAATGGTCACACAAACTGAAAATAAAACAGAAAAAACACCAGTTTCAAAGCTTACATTTTGTATTATCTTCATCTACCTTTTTCTTTTTAAACATGCAAACTAATAATGATACGCCGAATTAAACAATTACAATTGAAATGATTCAGTGTTAATAAATTGGGATCAGACCTCCTATTGTTGGCAAGCAAGTACAAGAATTGTCTCCTGAAATTCATAAATTTTAGATTCTGATTATTTTGAATTTGTGTTTTCAAATAATTTATTCACTATTAACATTTTAAAGTCAAAAACACAGCTTAATATATTGCAATTTGATTAGATCATATTTGCATGAAAATGTTGGGGTTATGAGCCTGTAGAAAATAATGTCAGTAGGGATTGTTGGCCCCTATAGGTGAATTTCTATTAATAAAACTGTTTGGACACCCCTGTACTATACTATGGAGCCTCTACCTCACGTTTTCCCCTTCAGATACAGGTGATCCAATCAAACGCAACAATACACAGTTTAAACCCCACTTCTGCTTAGAACTATTTGGTGAGCTGTGCGAAGTAGATATCTACTTATCAGACTCAGAAAACAGCCAGCTGGGATGATGATGGACTTTTTCTCTATACAGGGAATGAGGTGACTCTTTTACATGTACTGAGCAGAATATGAGACTTTCAGAGTTTGAGGGTTTATAAACTTGTGAAAAAAAGGCTTCATAATGTGTTTGTCAGCATATGGACTGCAAGTTCTAACATGAATAATGAATTGAATTACAGTCAGTTAAGGGCTAAGCTTTTCTCTCAGGCATTTGTATGGTCCTCTCTGTTGATCAATCACAATAGCTATTTATTTAGTAACTTTAGTTTTTATTCTGAAGCTGTGGTGCTGAATGGCTTAATGAAAATTGGAATGGATTCAGACAACGCCCTTCTCAGACACACACGCACACACAGAGTCATGTCATCAGTACTGTCGTGGGACAGTGTCAGTTTATTTCAGGTGGTTTGAGACACCTCTGGGAGGCTTGCTATGCCCTGCAGCATGTTTTTCCTGGGCTACTTGTGTGCCTGTCATTTTCTCAGAACCTACCAAAGTCATAACCTTTAGCCTATTTTTTTTCCTTAGCAGTTTTTCTCTTTCTTTTCAAGAGTCCACCGAATAAATCACTTTTTCTTCTTTTTCTGCATGTCCATTCATTTTCTGCTTAAATCTCTGCTCATGTTCTCAATGATGCTTTATTTTACTCAAATTAAAAGCAAAAGTAGAAGTGTTACAAAAGCAAGAAAAGCCTCATTAAACAATTGTTTTATATATGAATGTTTTATAAAATAAAGGGTTTAACAATTTAAAGAGTGAAATAAAATGCTGTTGTTGCTATTTGTTGCTTCAGGGACAGTCTTCTATCTGACGCTACGGACTCAACTGATCATCTGTCTGCTCCCATCTGCCATCTAGTTATCCCACAATAACTGGGATAACTTTTTGTAAAGAAATGATCATCTGGCCCAATAAATATGAGCAAAGGAAGAAATCAGTCAAAAAATGTTCAGCAGGATGTGAAATCATAAGTTACTTTTATTTATTTAACAAACTTTTAAAAATACATTTGATAATTAAAGTCTTTTATGAGTGTAGCCTGGTTGAAGATGAGCAGCAATATTGACAAAATAAACAAATATCAGATTTTTTTAAAGTTAAAATAAAATCTAGATAATCGACAATGGTCAAGACTGAGTCAAACATATTTAAATGATTTTATTCACTTCAATGTGGACTTTAGTAACAAAGAAAAAATTGGGAAAAGATTTGTATGTCTATAAGTAACCAAAAATAATGAGTCATGTGTCTGTGTGTGTGTTTAGGTGTACAAAGTGTAATGGTAGTGGGAAAAAGCAATGTGAAACCTGTAAAGGAAAACGTCAACTGCTGACCTACATTGAGCTGAAAGTGGAATGGTGAGTACAAGTACAACAGCAGTTTCAGTGTTCCTATATTTCCTATGATTCCTGTATGAAGATTGGGTTCTTCAAGTGTGTTTTAGGTGTCATTTGGAAAATTCAAATGGTCCTGGAGGAGGTTGCAGAAGTATATAAAGACACTTACATTTGAACTCAATTTAACTCCTTTAAACGGTTTAAATTTGTTTCTAAAGCCCTTGAAGCCAATTTTATGCTACATGTCCTGGATACTTGCAGAGTTAATTAAGGATACTTAAGGTTCTGTTTGAGGTCTGTTTGTTTTGACAGATATTCATGAATTATGTAGAGGAAAATGGTACATGGAGATGTTTTAAAAGGCTTTGAAAAGTCAATGCAAATTAGTTGGTTCTTTTTTTTTCCTACCTTAAATATTTTTTGAGGTACTTCCACTGAAATTTTAGAAAACATTAAATATCTTCCACAGACTACTGATGGGGTCCAGTCCTTAAGGATAATACACGAGCCCTGCCCACGGTTTTAGTTGTACTTGAGGAATAACCAGTTTATGAAAACAAAGATTTTATCTTTCAGTGACAGAGTTGCTTAAAGGCTTAAGAGGCCCATATATTTCTGCAGATATCTGACATACAGTATAAACAAATGTTAAAAATCAAATAAGGAAACAAGAGAAGAAATTACACATGGTCATTGTTTCGTTTTACTATCAGTAAAAGTATGTAGCATGTAAAAATATAGCATTAAATTTGAAAGCCATATTTGAATGATAATAAAAAAATTTCTTGATCAGTGGGCACCCCAATATTATTAACAACAGAGATTTATCTGATGTAATTTATCCTGAAATTGAGAAAATTCAGGTTTCGTGAACATTCAAAGCACTGTTGCAAATCCATTATATTCATCCATCCATCCATCCATCCATTCGCTTCCGCTTGTCCTTTTCAGGGTCGCGGGGGGCGCTGGAGCCTATCCCAGCTGTCATAGGGCGAGAGGCGGGGTACACCCTGGACAGGTCGCCAGTCTGTCGCAGGGCCA